GTACCACACTGGTGCCCTAAGGAGTTCACGGTTTGTTTGCTCCTTCTTGCAGATCGTCGTTCGAGCACTCCTCCCTGGATGGTGATGTGCAAATTTGGTTCCAACACTAACTATATGATGTGTTTCATGGTGTTTGTGAGTTGTTGTGGTGGAAGAAATTGTTGAGAGACTTCGGTTTTGGAACCAAGTTATGAATCTACATTTTGATAATAAGGCAACTATAAAGATTGTTCATAATCCAGTGCAACATGATCATATAAATCATGTTGAGATTGATCAATACTTCCTCAAGGAGAAATTGAATGTTGGAATCATTGCCTTTTCGTTTGTGGAAATTGAAGATCAACTCACTGATGTGCTTACTAAGGTTGTCTCTAGTAGTGTGTTTTCCAACTTGCTCGACAAGTTGGGCATGCGTAACATCTTTGCTCCAACTTGAAGGAGTGCTACGAGTTGTATATATTAGTTCTATTGTTAATTTCTTATCCCACATCGATGAAATACTTGTAAACAACTCTTGTAATTCCTATATATCTCACCAATTACAAGGTAATGAAATAATATAAAAATTATCCAAATATATTTGACAATTCCTGAGCATATTCATGACACTTAACCTATTTGAAAATTCTTGAGCATATTTGCCAACGCGGTGGCACCATTAGAAATTATGGCCCCCTTTCTACAATTTCACTTATAATTCACTACGTCCCAAGTTCAAACTTTTAATGGCTAATATTTTCATATAATAAGAGAATTTTGAAGCGCAATGTTGGAACCAAATTAGCAAATCATTGTTTATGATACGAATAATCGCAGGAAACCTACAAGCCAACAAGAAAAGATCGTAAAATAACCTATGCACCGATGAGAAACCAGCCAAAGACCCTATGAGAACCTACGCACCGATGAGGAACCGGCCAAATACCCTACGATGATCAAGTTAGGACAAAATTTAAGAGCTTCAAGTAGTGGGATAAAGCGTAGAGAATATGATATAGAGGGTGTATCTATAGTGTTTAATGAGAGTCCTTATGAGGATAGAAATCAGTATTAAAAGCCGAGATAATCCTAATAGGAAATCTAGAAACATTTTCTTCCTATTAGTGATTAATTGGAGCACACATTAATTTCCATAATAATAGTAATTCCGAAGATTCTCTCCTAATAAGTCTAGGATTAGGGGATATGTTCCTTGAGGGCCAAGTAGGTCATTCTTGAGGCCAAACCTGGCCTACCATTCCAGTGCCTATCAGATTAACTTGTCCCGATAAAACCTAAGATGATCTGATCCAGATCGTGTGGGTCATTCCAACCATATAGACTTGTAGGTCCTAGCCTACCATTTGTGTGGGTCTTCACTATTTCTTCCACTTTGGTCCGACAGTCCGAAAATCAAGGTCCCACATGCAAGACTTTTATTGGTTTCTTTCCTAGACTTGTATACGTGAGTTTGTAATTTTCATTATGTTTGGAGGTTGAGTTAATTAGGAGTGATATCGTCATTTAGTACTACGGTCTAGTGATATTCCTATTCACTAGTATGTAAGAGGTCTTAGGTTCGATTCTTATCAAATGTGAATTTGAACCACGTTATTGTTAACCCATTGTGAGGCTAAGCCCACCCACTCCTCTTAGTGTAGATAATATCGATTGTTTAAAAAAAAAAAAATTAGGAGAGTGATATCAAATCTAATCAAATCATATTTATTTAGGTTGGTTAATTAGGTCTGTAGAATTAGTTTTACCTTAGGAACACACCTAAGACTGTTTTTCCCTATTATTACTCCTTGTAGTTAGGCGATCCCAGTCCTATAAGTCTACATCGTTCTTTCTTCACCTTTTGCATAACTGTAATATTCAATATTACATCTGAAAGGGAGAGGTTTTATGTTTGCTAGGCTTAGCGTGAGCAACTTTGTGAAACCTTTAGAATCCTTGCATTCATTCATAATCCTACATTATGGTGAACAAGCTGTGTGGATCTCTTTACTCGTGAGGATGACCTATTGTGATGCAATCATCCAAAAGAGAGCAAAAAAAAAAAAAAAAAAAACAGTGTATTGCAAGACATAAGTATTTGGTAAAGCTTCGAGTCTAGTTTCTATCAAATTGAGTCTTGTAAAAATCTTATTCGTTAGTGGATTCTTTAACTGGTTGTGTGTCTATGAATTTTCCCTATTGTGTGTGGGTTTTACCACGTCAATGATATTATGCTATTTGCATCCACATATTTCTTCTTGTTCACATTTACGTAGTATGATTGAAACCAAGATTCAATCATGCCACTTAGAAATTTTTATTTGGATTGTTTACCTGTTACGTTTGAGTTCATCGATCTATCCTCGTTTTCAACTTCGACTTTGACAAAGCATTGCTTCCGTACTGATGGCTTGGAGAATTGACTTTCCCACTTGCCCCAAGAGCAAACAAATAAACAATGGGGTCGATGTATCAAAAAAATAAAATATAGGAAAACAAAAACGTCCCCGTTGCTCCCACGTCTACATACTATTATAAATCATTTGTTTTTTAAGTATTAATATTAATTTTCGAGTCACTTAGTACTACAGTCTGGTTGTATTCTTCTTCATTTAAAAGTAAAATGTCTTAGATTCGAATCTTGTAGATGGCAAATTCGATACCAAATTAGGCTGCCTATTGTGTAGCTTAGCTGAACTCTCTATTCCTTTAGCGTAAAATATTAATGTACTCAAAAAAATATTAATTTTCAAAAGGGTGGTGCATTCACACACTTATGTTTTTACCTCATACACCTCTCAAAAATAAGTGTGTAGATAACACAACCTTTCAGAAAATCTACACTTGATAAAATAAAAATAAATAAATTAACTACTTATTTATTTATAAATTTATTTTTCTATACGCATATTTTAATTATTTCTGATAGCTATTTCAGCCTTCAATCAACTCCTAGTTTCGTCCATTCGAAAATTAAAAAAAATGGTTTGTAATTTATTATGTGGCGGACATCTGTAAGCCCACGCACATATCTTTGACACATCGACCAAACTTAGTCTCAATGGCAGTGCCAGCACTCTTTGACTAAGTTTTTAGATGAATTCACCATGTGTTTCGCTCTGTCATCTTTTTCATTTTTTTAGTCAACACTCGGAGATCATGGTACGTCATGCGTGATCTTTAATCCACCATGTGTTATTTTAATAAATTTGGAACACTACGAAAAAATTCAAAGAGAACAATCGGAGTTCTAAAAATCTATACAAATGCATTCATTGGATTTTTTCGAGTTCGAATTGGAAATTTTAAAGGCAGAACAAATTCCAACTTAGATCCCTAAAATTTCCCAAATTCTATTCAATTAATATAAGAATAGGAGGCAAATGAAAAATAGCTACCAATTCATGTGTTTCGACAGGTTTACTCATGGAAGTTCCATTCATTTTTTTTATTTCTTATTTTTTGTTAAATGATTACCCAAAAGATTATATAGTCATGATCCAGAGATACATTTTAGCACATATTTTTGGTACAGTTCGGTTAGTCTCGTTTCATAATGTATTTCAACAAACCGTTTATATTTTAGATATTCTTTCAAAGATCATCTTTACTAAAAATCATCCATATTCGAAGTTATGACTATTGAGTTAAATAGTAGTCATTTAGTGTTTCTTTGAAAAAATTCAGTCATCCACTTTCTCCACTACAAATAAATGTTTTAGGGCCCATCATGGATGGTTGTGCCTTAAAAAAAATAAAAATAAAATAAAAAACTACTTCTGTTGTGTTTCAAGAATATTCAGATGTAAAATAAAGTAGATGAGCACTTGATAAGCTCTATTTTTAAAAGTGTTGTGAGTATAAAAAGCAATGTAAAGGTGTTTGTTAAATTTTAATGTGAGTGATATAATATAATTCTATATAATGACAAAAATAAATATGCTAGCGGATGGTGGCGACGACAGTGGTGGCAAAGGCAGTGGTTGGCAATGGCGATGGCGATGGTACCAATAGTAAGGTGTGTTGGTGGGGTGTAAAAGTAGCACTGGTGGCAGCGGAAGTGATGGTGATTTTGGTGTGGTGGTGGTGGTGTCATTAGCGGTGACATCGATGGTGGTGGTAAGGTTGGTGGTTGCAATTGTAAGTGATGACAACGACGTCGGTGACAATGGCAATGGGGGTAGTGGTAGTGATGGCAGTGACAATGGTTGGGGGTGGTCAGTGCCAATAGTGGGGTGTGGTGGTTGGCGTGCAAAGATAACACTAGTGGTAAGGGCGACTGTGGACTGTTATGATGGTGGTGGCAAAAGTTATTGTGGTTGTGGTGGCGATTGTAGTAGTTGTGGCGTGGTGACAATTGTGGTGGCAGAGATGGTGACAACCATTGTCACGCCCTGACCAACGAATAAAGACTATTCACGAGCTAAGGTGTGAACCATATCTTGGTTGTAGAATTTATTTCTATAGCTAAAATATGGCTCACATCCTAGTTCGTGAATAGTCTTTATTCGCGGGTTGGAGTGTGACAATCATCATGGTGGTTGTGTAAGGTAAATGGTTGTAGTAGTATGTAGTGGAGGTCACTTTGTTCTCTAAGCAATAATGTAATTTTTTTAAATTAATGAGGTATTGGATGAATGAAGAATATTCATTAAAAGCTCTATGCTTTTATGAAAGCAGTTTTAAAAGCAACTTACGGACTGCTTTTATATATATATATATATATATATTAAAGAAAAACCTCGGATATATATACACACACACACAATAAGTTTCTATATAACTTTGGACAAGTGAAATAAAAAGATTAGCTGTAATCAAAATCAAATAATGCATAAATGAGTGTGACACCATTAAATTGTCCCCCAAGTGACTGTATCTTTGTCCTCTTGCCCACACGACTTTCACATAATCCACACGCTGCTAAAATTCATTAATAAAAAAATGGCCAGAAACACCGCGGCAGTTGCCTACCAAGTTACCAACTGCAGTCTCCCATTCTATATAAACGCCCTTCAACTTCCATCATAAGCATCAAGCACTTCACCTTCACAACCAAATTCTAGACAAACAAAAACACTAAATCGTAAAGATTAATTAATTAAATTATGGTTTATGAGTATGTTCTTGCTGGTGTCCTGGTTTCTTTCTTGAGTTCTGTTTTCTTCCTCATCATAAACACCACCTACAGCGAAAAGAAGAAGGAAGACGTCGCGAATGTTTCTGAAACTGGTGTTTTTTCGGCGACGGAGATTGAGAAAAATACTGATGTTGTCATTGTTGGTGCCGGAGTTGCTGGTGCTGCGCTTGCTTACACTCTTGGGAAGGTGATCATCATTTTTCTCTCTTTATCTTCATAATCTACATTCTCTAGTTTATATTTTTTATTTTTTAAGATGAATGAATGTTCAATAGAAATCGTCATCATCGTCAATCGTTATTAGCATTATAGTTTTTCAACTCTAGTTATTTTTTGACTTTTTATTTCTTATTGATTCATTTTTTTCTTAATCAAAACCCGATTTCATAGTTAAAAATGCTTGAAACATCGTTTTTAACCAGGGAAAACAAGAATGGACCTTAATATTACCCTAAACGCGCTTTTTAAATGTTTCTCACTAACATTTGTAGCATTTATATAAACCGTTCAATGGAGGATTCAGTCAATAAATGAAGTTATCAAAGCCAATTTCTTTGTTTTTATCTTTATGAGTTGGCTCTAATATGGGGTGCTAATTGCAATAGTGCAGTCCAAACAGTATATTAGTCTTGTTCACACAGCTAAACTTTGGTTTATGGCAGTTTGTAACTGTCATTCGTTTGGCTAATTAAGCATTCGAATCTTCTTGTCCTATAGCGGAGCTTAATTAAAGTTGTAATTATGTAGCCTTTTGAGTTAATCATGAGTTTTGGTTCTTGTTAAATATAGGAAGGACGGCGTGTACATGTGATCGAAAGAGACTTGAACGAGCCAGACAGAATTGTTGGTGAACTATTGCAGCCTGGAGGCTATCTCAAGTTGATTGAATTGGGTCTTGAAGATTGTGCTAATGAGTCCATTGATGCTCAAAAAGTGTTTGGTTATGCCCTTTACAAAAATGGCAATGACACAAAACTTTCATATCCCTTAGAAACATATAGTTCAGATATCGCCGGGAGAAGTTTCCACAATGGACGTTTCATCCAACGAATGCGCGAAAGGGCTGCAACTCTTTCAAAGTACGTAAATTCCCATTTTCCTTCTGAGTATGATGAGAAGATCATCATGATTTCTTGGCTGTGATTGTTTTGATGTAATTTGTTTTGTACCTCTTATAATGTCTGACAATGTTTTCTTTGCAGTGTGAAAATGGAACAAGGAACAGTGACAACACTAATTGAAGAAAGTGGCACTATCAGAGGAGTGATGTACAAGAACAAGGCCGGAGAGGAGATGAGAACATATGCTCCGCTAACAATAGTATGCGATGGCTGCTTTTCAAATCTGCGCCGCTCTATCTCTACTCCCAATGTAATTCATTGATTTCAGTCTTCAGAATTCGAACATTTCTTTTATATTTTAGCATTGAAGTGTTTGCTATTATAGACCAACAAGACTAATTTGTCTAAATACTGCAGATTGAAAATCCATCCTGCTTTGTCGGTTTGATCTTGGAGAACTGTGAGCTTCCTCATGCAAACCATGGACATGTGATTTTGGGAGACCCTTCACCCATCTTGTTTTATCCTATTAGTAGCACCGAGGTTCGTTGTTTGGTAGATGTACCCGGCACAAAAGTACCATCAGTAGCTAACGGTGAAATGGCTCAGTATTTGAAAACCGTGGTGGCTCCTCAGGTATCTATTATTTTGCTTGACTTTATTAAATTTCAATGCCATTCATTTCGATCGAAAGGGACTAATCTGAGGAATTTGCTTCAGGTTCCCCATCAGCTCTTAAAGGCTTTTCTAGCAGCGGTTGATAAAGGAATTATCAGAACAATGCAAAACAAAAGCATGCCGGCTGCTCCTCAGCCCACCCCTGGCGCAATTTTATTGGGGGATGCTTTCAACATGAGACATCCTTTAACTGGAGGAGGAATGACTGTGGCTCTTTCCGACATTGTTCTTCTAAGGGATCTTTTGAGACCCCTAAGTGACTTCAACGATGCACCTGCTTTGTGCGATTATCTTGAATCATTTTACACGCTCCGCAAGGTATATTGCCGCATTTCCTACATGTAAATTAAAAATTTCTCCTATTAGACAGTCTGACATGTTATATTATTCCGTCAAGCACTGATTCACAATTGAACAACATAACAAGTCGGATATATATATATATATATATATCTTGGTGAGAGCATATTATCATGCATGTGGAAATGTGTGTGATGAAATTAGTTAATTTTCATTGCAGCCTGTGTCATCTACTATAAACACATTGGCCGGTGCCCTTTACAAGGTGTTTTGTGCATCGCCTGACCTCGCAAGACAGGAAATGCGTGAAGCATGTTTCGACTACTTAAGCCTTGGCGGCATCTGTTCAAATGGACCAATATCTCTACTCTCCGGTCTTAACCCTCGTCCAATCAGCCTGTTTCTCCATTTCTTTGCTGTGGCTGTCTATGGAGTCAGCCGCTTAATGATTCCATTCCCTACACCGAAACGGATGTGGTTAGGGGCTAGATTGATCGTGGTATGTTTACTCATTTTCCCATTACTTTCTCATCTGCAAGCTCGTTATATAAGTCATATTACAAACAATACAAGCATGAATCGCTAACTAATCTTTTGGTTTTCAATTTTCAGAGTGCATCAGGAATCATATTCCCGATAATTAAAGCCGAAGGAGTTAGACAGATGTTCTTTCCTGCAACAATGCCAGCATATTACAGAGCTCCTCCTGTTCACAGAAGAATCGAAACAAGAACGAAGCTTAAATGTTAAGAAAAAACCAAACAAAATACTTGTATCATATTAGCATTTACCCTCGCAAACAAGGTGAGGATCATAGCTGAAATTAGGAAAGAAAGCCGAGCAATTATGTTTCTCAATTCTTTTTAGCATTTGTTGTTCTGCAAGAAACTTGTATCAAACTCTTGCAGTTCGTAGTTAACCTACACATATATTTTTAAATGTTTGACTTAATTGGTTCTACACGTGAAGTCTTCAACTCTTGCAAGTTTCAACTTTCAACTACTTTTCTTTTGGGGAAAATCTTGGAGGCATTTTGTTTTGTTTGGAATTCATTAGAAAAGTGGTTCTGTTCCACCGTGTCGTTCATTCATATTATAATTAAAATACTTGTATTTGTTTTTCTTGATGTCCACTAATAATAACTTGTGCTTATACTGTAAAAAAAATGTTCATAGGGAGATTCATTCTTGGGACTTCAAAATTTAACATATAATCTAACATGTATGACAAGATCAAGCAATTAAATCAACATGTAAAGCTAGATATGGTGGAAGCAAAAACCATGAGAATAAACTAGATTCCCTTTAAGATCAAAGAACTAAATTGTTGATGTATCACATGTTAAAATTTGGCAAAATGGGTTAGTGGGTCTCTTGGGCCACCTTTGTATATTCTAAGTCATTTTATAACTTAAATCAAGCCCAATGAGTGCCCTTTGTATTAGGCTAAGCTGAAAACTATTTAAGGACCCAATATAAACGTATAAACGTCAATTTAATTAACTGATTCTTTTCAATTAATTTCTACCTCCATTCAAATTTAAACCACAATATTACCAGATCATTATGAGATTTAGCTCACTTTCTTACATCTTAATGTAAATAATATTGTTTGTCAAAAAAAAAATTTAATCTAATTAATTAATTACTCCATCATTTGGTGTTCATCCCAATCTATGGGTGTGCGGTCTATTAGAGCATGTCTAATGGTAAGGGCAAGAGTCATGGACTAAAGACGAAATCTAGCCCCCAAAGTGACGCTATTTAAGCAATCTTGCATTTAAATTTTTTGTTGTTCTAATGGTAAAAGTGGATAGAGGTTAAGAAGTGTTAGGTAACAGTTTTTATTGAGTACCAGTTCTATCATAAATTGGTCCCTTGAGGAGTCCTGGGTGCAAGCGGAGGCTAAACTGGCCTCTTGAAATGCCTTAAGCTATATTAACTTAGGCAAGATATGTCTTTGTCATTTAAATCACTCAATTCCTTGTCGATTAGAATAAAACATCAGAATGTCTCTTTAAGTTGGTAGTGCAATACCGATATCATTTGATAGCCTCACAATTATTATGTAACATTGGATAAAAAAAAAAAAAAAACTTCAATAATTATGATATAACATTATTAAAATAAAAGGTACTATACAAATTTTTTTTAAAAGAATAATGTAGAATCTCTCTACTTGTTGAATATCATGTACACAAAGGGAAGAGAGAAGATTTGAATAGGAGACGCAGTGGGTTGAAGATGAGTACTCTAATCACCAGGGTTGTAAAATTTCTCCACTTGGTGAATATCAAAGTCTATTTTTAAATATGAGTATTAGTTGAAAGAAACATTTGAGTATTGATAAGTAATACGAAGGATAACAAAAATGAGCCCCTAAAATTTAAAAATCAGAAATATTTAAAATGATAATGACTTATATATTGGTTAGGTCATTTGGCTAAGACAATGTGTTGGATTCTGCTCGAGTTTGAAACCTCTTTTCTTTAATAAGAATAGTTTAGAATATTGCGTTAAACAAATTTGACCAAGTGGTTGTAACGCTCCTAGTAGATGCCTAATAAAATCTAACATTACAATTGCGTAACATTCTTAAGAGATGCGCAATGTACCCAATTTCAAAAATATGTATATCTACACCATAGATGTTCTTACCATTACGACCCATTTAAAAATCATCTATATGAACACATGACAGATTAGGTTAACGTTCTTTGGATATGTGCAATGAAAATCGATAAAACAGACACATAACGTTTGTACAAAATGTAAAATATGTGATAAAAACCACGTGTAACGTTCTTAGAAAACACAAAACAACATCTCACAAAAAAAGATGTGAAACGTTGTTTGAACATGTGCAATGTACTAAAAAAATAACAAAATAGTAACAAAATCCAATGTGCGACCCAACTTGCCAACTTGAACGGTATCCACGCTTTGGCGGGGATTTTATATCTAATGACTTTGACCTGTGGCAAGTCCACACGAATACAAATTCCTTGCTTGTCAAGCATACCTACCTACGCACGGTTACACTGTATAATATATACACACTCTCATGCACTAAACTACACGCGGCGGGAAAGGAAAGAGTCTTTTGAGCACGCAGTCGATCAGTCGCCCTTTCCTCAGCCGCGAGTCCTCCGCAAAACCCTTTTTCTGATTGTGTCAATCTCCGATTTCTCAACCGATACTCTCGCCGGCGCTTTTTGTGAAGACACAAAATAGGTATAAAATCCTTCTGTAGATTTTTAATTCTGGTTTTTATTTTTTGATCTTTTTATTTGGGTGCCTGCGTTTTCTGGGGTTTACTGGGTGATGATTTTGTGAATTGGTTATGTGTATGTTAAATTTATGTATTGGATTGGTTAAATTTGGTGTTTTTTTTTTTTTTTTTTGGGATTTTTACTGCACTTGTTTTTGAGATTTTATTGGAGATGCTCTGTTTCTGTTCGAGTTAATGCCGCTACTGGTTTAGTTAAATTCATTTGTTTTGGGGTGGAGGCTGTTTTTGTTGAAGGTTTTTCTTGCAATGTCGTCCCGGAATTGGGAGAAATCTCTGAAGTTAATATACTTTTAGGCAAAATGCTTAGATGACAAAGAAGGGAAAAAAAAATAGTGAAACTCAAAACAGGGTGAAATGCATTTTGGAATTGTAAGCTACCTTTTTGGAGGTTTAGTGGTGGTTCTCCATCTATGCTTTGCAAAAAGGTTGTTTCCACAAACTTTTCCATTGCGCCAAGGCTCGCTCTTAGAAAGTTACCCGCTAACCATAAAATAATCTAATGCAATCCTAAAACGATGTAGTCTTGAACAAAAGTAACATCACATAAAACATAAACATAGGATAGGATCATGTAAGCCATATCTCAATATTTTTTATAAATGATTTTAAGTTTTGGTCTCCCATTGTACAGGGAGATCGACTTGGCACTTGTCTTTAATAAGCATGGTTTTTTTATAGTATCATTTAATTAAGTGCGGTGCAAGTGATTTTATATAAATCTAGTCATTGGAGATGCCTTGTATGGATATGCTTTGTATGTGGCTTTATTTACCTGAAACTGATAGAAGTGTTTAACAGAGAAAAATGCATGTATATATTGTACGATAAATAACAAGTAGGTTGTCATTTGGGAGGGTGTTTTATGAAAGCTTATATAGCTCTCCTCAATGTTTGCATTTCTGTACATGCCATTTTTTCTTTTGAATGTAATTGCTTGTGAAGTACTTTACATAGCTTTAAACCTTCCAAAATCTCTGTTGTTTATGGATTCTCAATATTAAAGGCGCGCTCAAGCTGACCACAATATGGATCCGGTCAATTGGAGAACTAAATTTCCTGCAGAGTCTCGAGAAAAAGTTGTGAACAAGATGTAAGTTGAATTGCATTATTCATATCAAAGCATCATTTGAATTCCCCTGTAAGGGTTTTTCAATTTAGAGGTGATAAGCTTTATGATGGCTGAACTTGGGTGAGCTTCAGGATGACCAATTGACAAGCCTGGAAGGGAAATATTTAATATATCTTCTGAACTAGATATGAAATTTTTAAGCCAAGTTATGAGAATCTGATAGACTAAATATGTATTATGATACTGTTATTTTACTAAGCAGGTTCTGATTAGTTTACGAATAAAATTAATTTTGTAATTTTATTGGTTGGCATGGCCAATACATTCTGACTCCAGAACAATTTCTCATGCAGTATAAGTAGCTTAATGAAGCGTTTTCCATTTTCTGAGCATGAGAAACATATGTCTGATTACAAGAGGATAGCTGTAAATTTCGAGGAAAAGGTTTATATGGTTGCCAGAGACCAGGTAACTTAAGTTATGATATGCCTTTCTTCTCAAGCTTACATTTTCTGTTATTTTCAGAATTTCCCCTCTCGAACCTAACAACCTATGTTTAATTTGGAAATAAACCTAGAAGATAAATCTTTGTGGTTCACTGACGCTTTTTTTTATATATGCTGATTAGAAAGAATAGTTGAGTAAATATTTTTTTATCAGCCTAAAATAAACATTTCTTGTTTAATTTAGCAAGACTATATAATGCGGATCAAATCGAGGTTGGAGTCAAAAAACTTGAATCCAGGTATGCCATTATTTTGAAAACTAAATTATTGAGTTTAGCAATATCAGATTGTTTGATGTTTTGCTTCTAAAATAGACTGTTTATGTGCATTATGTATGCTTGCCTTCATTTTAAAGAAGAAAACAAAAGTGGGTTATATTTTTTTTTTCCCTTAAATCTGGAACGGTGTTAACATGTAATGTAATGTTAGCTATATCTTTGTTGGGTGCACATGATATCATCTTCCCTGGCTACATAATCAATATTTTTTTAAATCATAAAACGGAAGATCATTTGTGGTTTTTATAGGGAAAATCTGAGAACTGTTTTTTATATCTTTGGTGGCTACAAGAAGCTAAGCTTGAGATATCAAATCTCTCTCTCTCTCTCTCTCTCTCTCTCTCTCTCTCTGGTGTGTGTGTGTGTCTTCACGTCATTTGCTTTCCCAAGTGATACTATTTTTTCAGTAGTGACGGAAGAATATTTACATTTTGAATAGTGATGAATTTGTTGGTCACTATATTCTCAGAAGCTTTTGCTCCGACAAGGGACAAGGATTATTTTATATTCTAATACTTGTGTCGCATGTGTACTTCAACCAACCATTATAATGTCTAACATCAGGAGTTGAACTTACAATGGGAAGTTGTAATTACTAGGATTCCAGTACAGGATCTCCTACATATATTTCTTGTATTCTTCAAAATTTGAATTAATTAATCTTTTGTTTTATCATTATTTTATAATTACATCGTATGATATTCATCTCCAAGGTGGTAAGCAAGGCCAATCGATTTCTGTTCAAGCCACAACTCTGTCCCAAGCACATGAACAACATTCATTGCCTAATGTTCAAGATAACACTGCATCTGGTGGAGTCGTTACTAATTTAGCATCTGCACGGTCCACTGTCAGTATTTCGCCTCACGTTGCTTTGCCAAACAATGCTAGTGAAAATTCCAATTCGCAGAGTGTGTTTGTTAATTCACAAAGGTCTGTAGGAAATTTATCAGGGAGTGGCCAACCTTTTAATATT